GCCCGCTACGGTTTAGCGCGCCAGCGTTTGCCCCGGGAGGAGGGGGCCGGGCGGTGGCAGGGAGAGCGTGGGCAGGAGGGGGCTTTGCCCCCGGGTGCAGTGGCGTTTCGTTTCTCCTAGGCCCGCTGCGGGGACGCCTGTTCGCGCTCAGCTCCTCCGTCAGGTGCCGGCGGCTGACCGCGCTGACAGGTAATGCCAGCACCTCGAGGCAAGTTCTTCAGCTGCTCCCCGCGGTGCGAGATTCCCGGGCGGTGCAGGGCAGAAGCGTTCAGTTTGCCGCTGCTCTTTCTGCCGTATGCGTGCAAGTCTTCTCCTGACTTCGCTTCTTAAAAATCAGGGGTTAACTGGCGGGCTGTTGTCAGTCCGTGAACCCACCAGGCACCCTCTGTGGGTGCGGTGAAAAGGGCCTCTGCCTCAGCAGCGGATTACGCGGATACCCCCGCAGTGGGGAGAAAGCCCTGTTGTAAACACCGTCTGCGGTAGTAGCAGAGGGCGTTAGATTGTTCACAAGCAACGTCCGGCAGATTCTTTACCGGATCGTAGCCCTTGAGGCTCGTGCGTTGTATTCTATAGCCACGCTTAATAATTGCAGACTGATAATACTGTAAATACTGTTTGTTTTCAGCCCTGCCCAAGTCCAGAAAAAAAGCTCAGCTGTTGTCCAGAAAAAATCCTATGTCCCTACTAGCAGAGGCGAGTATATTGTCACCAAACTCGATGACCTCATCAACTGGGCACGAAGAGTAAGTCACTGAAACAGTCTTGATCACGAAGAAGAAATGGTATCCAGTGTTCGAGGTGCTTGTGGGAATTGGATATGTGCCTCCTCCTCCTAAGGATAAAAATAGGTTCAAAATTCTTTGAGCTCTGCGGGGAAATAGCCAGAGTTTCTTGACCAGAGGTTGACGTTTGAGTGTACTAGATCACAGCGAGAGAGAAATGCTTAATTTGATAATGGCGCAAAGCGGTGCATGCTGCCTCTCTGCACAGAGTTGTCCTTTGGTAGTAAGCAAATGTCGCTTCTTAGTTTTACGTAGTCCTTGTCCTAAGTAGGTGCTCTGGAGGGTCAAGAGGAAAGTAATGCTTTGGCTGAGCTGAGTTTTGTCTTCTCCTGTCACTGCCGTCCTTGTACGGTGCTTCTGAGGTGGCTGTGTTTTAGTATCGGCAGAAGTAAAGAAGAAAGCCTGTGGTTTTGTGTGTGCTCAGCATCTCCGAGGCCGCAGACACGCAGAACTCTTTACACGCTTATCTCCTGTTAGGATCAGCTCCCTGAAGGCATGGTTTTTACTCTCCCGTTTAATGGTAAACGCCGTTTTTATTTATGGTGCTTTGATTAAACAGACCTTAAAACTTGTCTCTCTCGTTTTGTTTCCTTTCCTGTCTGATCAAAGCTGAAAGCAATTTGTTCTGTGAGTTACCTGCACAGGGTCTCAGCTCCCACTTTGAGCGTTCTTACCCGTAACCCAGGTCTCTCCTGCTCCAGAGCTCCTTGTGGCCGATGACGTTTGGCTTGGCATGCTGCGCGGTGGAGATGATGCACATGGCAGCTCCTCGCTACGATATGGACCGCTTTGGGGTAGTGTTTCGAGCTAGTCCCCGGCAAGCTGATGTCATGATCGTGGCTGGCACCCTGACAAACAAAATGGCTCCAGCTCTTCGGAAGGTATGGGTTGGGGTGGATGCTTTGAGCGCGGCTGCACAGACTGGATGCAAAGCGGTCTGAAATGTCTGTTCTGCAGGTCTATGACCAGATGCCTGAACCTCGCTATGTGGTCTCCATGGGAAGGTACGTGCCAGGACATCCCTATTGCCTTATGCTCTGTGGGAGAAAACTGGTGTCTCCACTGGAGAGGGGAGATGGAGGGAGGGGGAACCCATTTCTCATTTGTATTTCCAACCCCTTAAATTGTATAAAGAGG